GACGAGAATTGATGGCATTTCCAGAGTGCCTCTTCTGAATTTGACATCCAGGATGCTTGGTGATCTCACTGTCCTGAAACTGATTCCAGATTCTTTGATGCTGGTGGCAGAAGAAATAGGCCGGCATGATACAGATGACTCTTCTTGGCCTTGCTGCTCTCCAAGTGGCAACACCAAAGAACTTCTTATCAAATCAAGAATGTGCTGGATTTCTTGATTGGCGAAGAGATCTAGTTGTATAGGAGATTTCTCAGCTGAAAAAATGTTGTCGAAGAAAACCAAGGCGAGTTGAAGTAAGGGCTTGGTTTCAAACGAATCACTTGTTAAGCTAAACAGAAGCTCAAGCACAAACCAAGGTATTTGATTTTCCAGCAAAATCAAGCCATGGTATAAGAACTGAAGCATACAGGAAGTAGAGAAAATAGGATCATTTTCGCCTTTCTGAACCACTCCAGCATCCCTTCCTGAACAGTTCAACAATGAAGCAGCCATCAAGCACCAACATTTCAATGAATGCCTGTTTGGTCATACGAATTTCTTCTGCGTAGCACCGTCGGACTTTTGTTTCATAATATGTGATCTCTCTGATGCATTCCATCAGTGTTGTATCCGGATCACGTATTCTGTACAGAAGGCCTTCTATGTAGTCAAACTTGATCTTCTCTGTCTTCGAGATCTTTCTCACCATGGTGAAAAGGCCCGATTGAAAACGCGTTGGGGATGTATGCTTCCTTATTGTGCCTGCGAAATATGTTAGGAATCCTGAAGATGCAAGGCGTGGATGAACTTATAGTATCACATCTCATCTTGCTTCTCATGTTAGATGCCATTGATTCAATTTCTCCTGCCATGATAAACTTTTTCCCTCTCCAAGTATGTCTAAGCAAGAATATTTTCGAGGCAAAATGAAGGTAGAGTTTCTTAAACAAGGTAGTATATATTTGAAGAATAATTGTCGAGGACTCAGCTGAAAAGGGTTCTGTTTTTGATTCAATCCCTGCAACTTAGTTATGATGATTGATAAAGGGATACTTTACTCTCCGTGAAAATATTAGGTGTGTGGTTATTCTCAGGGTAAAAAATTGATAAGATTATTACTCTCTTTATTTACTTTAAATAGTTTTAGTTTAATTTTTTAATTTTTAAAATAAAAATATTAGACGAAATTTTAATAATTTATATGAATAATAATTAAATTTTTTTATATAATTTTGATTTGATAAAAAATTTTAATTATTATTTATATAAATTATTAAAATTTATGTAAATTTTATATTTTAAAATTGAAAAATTAAACTAAATTTATTAAAAATAAACCA